CCGCCGGGACGGGGTTGAGAGGAGAAGGCCAGAGAGAGAGGAGAGGACTGTAAACACCAGCGGCTGAGAATGAAGATGCTGCACCCACAGCCCTTGCATCGCTTGATGCTACCAAAAGAGGGGCCAATAACCACCCTGACAATGCCCCAGGTGCTCCAGGAGCTCGGGAGGCACCCCCCAGCTCCCTCCGCACACCCCACGGCAATCTTCTGCACCCTCCGAATCACTCGGGCAGCTGCCTGCCCCTCTCTGCCTGAGGAAGGCTGGCAGGGAAACGACACAACGGCTTGTCACACCCACCTTGTCATTGAGAAAGCCAATCTTGAGGATGTTCTCCACGCTGGGAATGCCGTCTGCCATCGTCAGATCACCCATGGAGTCCCCCAGCAAGATGATGCTCGTCCTGGTGCTCAGCTGCTGGAAGTACTCTGTGCCCTGCAGGACGCTGTTGTTCTTGTTGTAGATGTGGATGAGAGGTCCCTTGAAACGCGTGAGGACTCCCTGTGCAAACAGGACAGAGAGGTCGATCCCACGGCCGTTCCTCCGCTGTGCCGCAGCCTCAGGGCCCCTTCTGGAATGGGCAAACGGGAGGATGCTCACAGGGCACCAGCTCTCATCTCAGGGACACCCTGAGTACCAGCCACGAGATTTTGGAGACAGTCCCCTGGAGTCCCCTGTTGCAGGGCAAACCCTTCCCAAAGGTGAGAACAAACCCAAAGGATGGAGATCCTGGAGACCTTGGTCAGGGCTCTGTGCTGCCCCGGAGCTAGTCAGAGGCCACGGAAAGCCGCAGCCAAGGGAGCCCCAGGGCAGAGCAGGGCCCTTGCAGAAGGCAAGAGAGGTGCCATTTTCTAGTGTGCATTGGGACCCTTCAGGCTTTAGTACACCAGCGGAAGCCTCCCGAGCTGCTTTAAAGGACATCTGGCCTTTAGATCAGGAGACCTCTGAGGTTAACTCCATCCTTACCCCACCCCAGGACGGGGCGCACAGCGCTGGACACAGCGCACTTCTGCCGCCAAAGCGCAGGTCCGAAAGGCGAGGAGCCCCCGAGATGGCGAGCGGACGCTCGGCGGCTCCTGCACCCTGCCTGCCCGCCCTCTCCACCCTCTGCTCGCTCCCGCTGCTGATCCAACTGCCGGTGAGGGCGGGGGACCGCGAACCCCCCAGTGCTGGCGTTCAGAGGGCCGCTACGGTGCCGGCAGGTCACAATCCCCGACGGCAGAGCAAATGGGGCGCAGATCAGATGGGGCGGGAGGCCACGACCAGCCTCTAGAGCCTTTCCACGACCCAGCAGAGGGTCAGCCCCGTCTCCAGGGATCAGCTACCCAGAGATGTTAACAGGCAGCTTTTATCCCAGCAGTGTCTCTCTTAAACGTATCGCAGCCCTCAACTCCCGTCGAGCAACTCGCTTCTCCGCAGGCTCGCCCCACGTACGTGACGCAGAAACTCACATTGTCGTCAAAGTCCATGTAGTTGGACACCACGTTGACATTTGAGTAGAAGACGTTGGCCTGACGGATAATCTCTTCGAGAATGTCACCGACGCCAGCAGAGAAGATGAACAGGGGGATGTTGTACTTATGTCTTATGCAGCTGATCAAATAATTCATTGACCCCATCCCTAGAGCAGAAGCGTCCGTTACACAGTACGGCGTTACCGCCTCGCGGCTCGCGGCTCGGCGCCCGGTGGACTGTGGGCTGGGAGCACGCTCAGCCCAACTACGAGGCTCGTTTTCCTGCCTGGGACTTCCCCAACAGAAACGCAGGCACGAGCTCTGCGAAAGTCACGAGCTTTTCGTGGCACCAGCGTTTCTGGGCGTTCACGGCGCAGGCGGGGGGTGCGCAGCAGAACCCCA